GAGCTAGTCCTGGGACCCCACTTCTCTGGCTATATCCTCTCTCTGGTTGGGTCATGTAGTTCATTACCTGAAATCTCATCTCAACACTAACCATCCATAAAGATTTATTACCAGCTTTGTCCTGTCCATGAGCAGTAGGTTGGTATATCCAGCTCTATACTGGATTTCTCCATTTGGATGTTTGATGGGCATTTCAGCGTTAATATGTCTAAAATGCACCCTCTTCTTCTCTCTCAAACCTGCTCCCCTGTTGTCCTCCCCTCCTTAGTATATGGTGCTGCCTTTCATCAGCTACTTAAGCTGAAGTCTAGGCATTGCTCTTCATTCTTTTCTTCCACTTAGCTTCCACATTCTAACTATCAACAGTTCTTTCCAGCTTTGTGTCTTCAAAATTTATCCCAGATCTGACTATTTCCCCTCACTTCCACCATGACCTCCCAGCCTAAGGCCTCGCCTGGGTAAGTATCCTGGGCCTCCTGCAGTAGCCTCTCGGAGCTTCTCTTTCTTGCACTCATTCTCTGCATGGCAGCTGGAGAGGCCTTTTAAAAACCCAAATCACTTCATGTCACGTCTCTGCCCATCCAAAGAGACTGAGGAATCACTTCAGCATTGGGAGAAAGTTCTCCATTGGACTTACTGAGAGGCAGCAGGAAGTTTTCTGTGGGCTGCCTTCCTGGTCATTTCAGCTTTATACATGGACATGAGAAACTAGCAGACCGTGAAGTTGACGGCATCATATAGCTAAGATACATTGGCCTGTGGTCTATTCACGGAGGGGGCTTCATAAAGAAGACCCCGTTTTCAGTAGGCGTTGGAGGACAGTAGATTTTCAGTGTGACTCAGTGGAAAGCTCCAGGGCAGCAGAGAACTTGGCCTGAACAGAGGCACCGAGTGGTTTGGGGGATTCCTCTTTGACGAGTAGTGGACAGTGTCGGAGGAGGAACTTGATGTGTTAAGTGGGAGAAGACGGTAGTGGGTGCGGAGGCTGAAGAGGCAGGTTAGGCTTCCTTTGGAAGACTTTATTTATTTATTTATTTGAGACAGAGCCTCAAGTTGTTGTGCTGGGTAAAGTGCTGTGGTGTCACAGCTCACAGCAACCTCCAACTCCTGGGTTTAAGCGATTCTCCTGCCTCAGCCTCCCAAGTTCCTACAGGTGCCTGCCACAACACCCGGCTATTTTTTGGTTGTAGTTGTCGTCGTTTGGCAGTCCTGGGCTGGATTTGAACCCGCCAGCTCTGGTATACGTGGCTGGTGCCTTAGCTGCTTGAGCTACAGGCACCGAGCCCTTTGGAAGACTTTAGATGGTGGGTGGGGTGTGAGAGTACGGGTGATGAAAAGCTGTGTTTAGTAGGTTATATCAGAACTGACTTTTCAGTGGTCAGTTTTAACTCTCACTAGAATGCATTCTCCTTTCTTTCCTTTCTGTTTGGTGCCTGATAGTGGATGGCTATTTCTACAGTTGTTAGTGAGAAATAACCTTGACTCTCTGGGTGCTTTGACAGCAGTTCCTGGGGAGGGAAGCCCACTTGTAGAAAGCCTGAACCACACATGTGAAGAAATGCCCTCTATCCTTTCCTGCTAGGCAGACCCCGGGTACCTCTGGGCTAAGACGGTGGTTAGTGCTCTTAATTAAGAGGAATACATAAGGTGTTTGATTACTAAAGGAGCCAGCCCTCGTGCATTCATTTCTTAGAAGGGGGTGAAAATTTGCTATTTTAAGCCATTTTTTTCATTCTTTCTCTAGGATTAACCACAATGAACGGTTGGAGTTCCTGGGTGATGCTGTTGTTGAATTTCTGACCAGGTAATTAGGCTTTGTTATAATTCCCCAATAATTACATTTTATAGGTAACATACTTATCCCATTACTTTCTTTGTAATCAGCTAAATAAAGTATTGAAACCCCATGTATTTTGTCTCTTTTGTAGAGCTTAAAAGCCACATGTCTGTGGCTTTTGCCCTGACAACTTGCACTCACTGGCGCTGTAATGAGCGAGATTACAAGATGAAAGGCTGGTGTCTCTGTCCTGTCAAGTATATGTTAAAGTTGCTTACAGCCACAAGAGATCAGCTTGTCTTGGTCTAGAATGCTTCAGAGCTTATATTCAATTTGTAAAGAAAGGGATGATATTTTGAAATGTCATTTCATCTTCTAGGATTTGTCTTTGATCCCTTTCTCACTCTGTTTGATCTCAAGGGAAGTAAAGCTTAAAAGTAATTTTAATGACCAGGTTTCTCTGTGTGTGTATGTGTGTTTTCTCTTTCCAGAAGTTTTAGGGTTCTTAATTTGGGGGTAGTGGTAGGAAAGTGTATTTTGTATTTCTATACAGCTTTTCTATACAGTTTCCCTTTTAGAGGGAGACCTCACCTGCTTCTCTTGGAACTCTCTTGAGCTATTCATATTTTTATTCTCTTTAGGTCATTTCTTTTTGCAAGAAGTACACAGTGAGGAGAAGAGGCTCTTCCCTAAGCCTCTAAATATCAGGGCTTAGTGCCCTGATCAGCAGTAGGTCTTACAAATGGTGTGCAGTTGGGGAGTGCTGCGGTGGTGACCCAGCCTGGCTGTCCATGTGGCCTTTGCCAATCCCCACACGTTTCTGATCAGCTCCTCTAGGCTTGTCCTTGGGGCAGAGCCTGGTGTGAGTGCCACTCTCTGTTCTGTTCTGTCCCTGTCTGTGCTTGGGAAGAATATGGTACCCTGCAGTGCTGCCCAGGTCTTCCCAGAGTCCATCAGGGGCACCCACATCTCAACCCAAGGAAAGCCTTTGTTTCCAGCCCTGCCTGCAGAGTGCCAGACGTGGCTGTTCTTAGCAGTGTGTGCCTGAATGTCTCTGCTGTCATCAGCTTTCAGAGAAATCTTTTAAGAGAAATCCACGTGTAAACATGAGTGAATGATGAGTGCTTTGCGGTTTTAGCACATTCAGATACACTGTGCTAACCATTTAACTTTCAAAGACTTAAGCAAACCCTTCAGTTTAATTGAGAGACATCTATTGCGCAGACACTGCGTGCCAGCCCTATGTCTGCGACACAGAGCCAAAGCAGAATGTTGTGCTGTGTATTTATTGATGTGCTGCTTCTTTTTTTTCATTTGTAGTGTCCATTTGTACTATTTGTTTCCTAGTCTGGAAGAAGGAGGATTAGCGACCTATCGAACGGCCATCGTTCAGAATCAGCACCTTGCCATGCTAGCAAAGGTACACACAGAGCCTGGAGCATTCACAGTTGTGTCCTACATCCTCTCTTCCGTCCATGCCTAATTCTGCATTTGAATAAGTGACTCCTTAGGATATACTAAGTGATAACATTTTATAGACCAGGTATAGATGGGTATTTTTTGTTTAGGTTTTAATGATTCAGCCTTATTACTTCTGTTACCTTTGTGAGTTTCACTAGCAGCTAATGAACTCCACAGTGAGGTAACTTGAGAACAGATGAAGAAAAATTTGACAGATGTGCATGAACAGAGTTGAACATTTGAGGAAAAGAAACATGGGAACAAAGCAAAAGAAGGGAAGTATTCTGCATTTTCCCTTTGTGTAATATTCTGTAGTACATTTGTTTTTATTTACATTAACAAGCAAAATTATAGCTTTGAACAGAATATTCCAGACCATTTATGTCCACACAGGGAACGTTATAGACCTTTGAGAATCTCTAAACTCACAATTCCCATTAATTAAGATTTAGGGCTTAGGCTGTCCAGCTAGGCCTTGTTGACTTAGCTGAGTGACTAACAGAACTTTTTCTTGAATTCAGTTTGTGCTGGGCATTCCACTGACCTAATCTGGTTTGGTGTTCCCATCTCTGTGCAATGTCTTACTATGGTGAATTGTAGCAGAGAAGAACTTGAGTGCTTGTGCTGATTCAGCAGGGCTCCAGTTCACACCCCGCCTGCCCAGGGGCAGGGTAGCCGTGTACAAACTGCCATGTTTGTTGTTCTCTTCCTGAAGCCTCTGCTTTCTTATCTGTAAGATGGAAATGATATTAGCACCTGCCACCCAGCCTGCTTGTGAGAATGAAATCAGATGATGAGTTTTAATGATTCCATTTATAAAGTGGTTGCTATAATGCTTGTTCATAGTTATCACACAAAGATTAATAATTTTGTAGGAGCTAATTATTTTTATTGCTGTTTCCCTTGTTCGTGTGCTAAATATTCACATTTTTATAGCCATTTGGGCTTATTTAATAGATATACTTGTGGTTCTTAAATTTCCAAATATTGAGGATCCACTGGAAAAGGTTTTGTGGGTTTTTCTTGAATATCGCCTTACATAATTTATATTTTTTTCTTCATTTTGATATAAAAGTTGAAATTTGATAGAAAAGACTAGCTAAAACCCATCCTAGTTTTGTGACTGCTTTTTTATTTGATCTTGCCCAGGTATTAATTATATTCAAAACATGCTTAATTTTATCCCAGGTGTTAGCAAGAATGCATTGTTTTGTTTTATGTAATACCATTATTATCATAGTTACAGTGGTAGGCCTTGAACCATCTTTTGTGGCATTTGAGATTGTGAATAATGATGGCTTAATGAAAAACCGTGGGCTACAAGGTAAGCTAACTTGGTTTTAGCACATCATAAAGAATAAAATTTTGCAACTCTATGTAAAACTGTTTTAGTGTTTGGTTGATTTAATTGTCAGAGCGCTTCCTGATTGTTCATGTTAATGCCATTGGAGGTACATATCAATGAATAGATTGTCATTCCCTTCTCCATTATATTCTTTTTAGTTTAAGATATAATGGAATTGTAGAATTATTTTTCAGAGGCTTATAGGGAGGACATTTACCAACTATGGGAAATTGCCATAGTATGAAAACAGAAGCTACTGCACAACCCATCGGGTGCTGTGCACAGCAGGAGTGATGACAGAGGCGGCCACTTTCTCCCTTCTGGGGTTTCTATACGATTTCCTCCACAAAGCCCAAGCCTTGCTATTCTCATCGTATTCACTCATCTGCTCCAGCAGATGGCTGTGGGGGGTCCTAACTTTGTTCTGAGTAGACCAGTGGTTTTTTAACCACTTGGGAGTGAGGGGAATTGGTGGAGAATTATTGACTCCATTCAGAATTTAATGAAAGCTCAAGGTCAGCTCACCAGACCAATGAGCATCTTAACATACACGGGAGACTACTACCCTCTCCCTTTAAAAGTTCCTCTGATGCCTACTTGGAAAAATAAGGATATACAGTAGAGACTGGGGAAAGTTGGAAAATTCACAGCACTCCATAATACAGTCATTGTTTATAAGATAAAATATGGCTTGCAGTCTGCTCTCAAGCAGGGCTCCAGAGATAGCAAACAATTGAGTTTTCCCAGTGAAGTTGTCAAATGGATGAAATTTACATATTCTAGTATAAAGTCTTGTACTTTGGGATCAATTTTTAAAAAGAGATGTTTTCTTCCTGTTGCATTTGTGGTTGTCAGAACTCTCATTTGAGTATATTTTATACTCATGGTTTTGTAACAATTACAAAATACTATAGCATATATGTCTTGTTTTTATTTGTTGGTCTTTTCCCAATATAAATGAGCATGAATATTCAGCATACATTCTGAGACACAAAATCTCCATGTCTTCTATCTGAGGACTAACGAAATGCATAGTGGCCTCGGTTGTTCATTGACTTGTGTCTTGTTCCATATTATGTGGCATGTTATTGCTTAGTAAGTATTTATTGAATTGAATTACGTGGTAATGGAAACAAATTTATTGCATATTTATGCAGTGTTCGTATCTTATTCCTTTTATGGAAAGAATTATGATCTCCATTTATTCAATCTCAGGAGTTTTATAAAAAAATATTCATTTATATTGTGTTTAGTTCTGAAAGTAGAATTGATTTGTATGTTAGAATACCAGAGGATAAGAAATAAACAGCTACAGAGATCAAGGTAAAGGGAAAATATGGAGTAAGACAATGAAATGCAGCCAGAGGTAAAGTTAGTCTATACTGATGTATTTATAAGTCCCGTACCTAGAACTGAGCCACAACTTTGGCTCTATACTTTCCTGAGACCAAATCAGAAAAGGAAACATAATTCACTATAGATAATACTCTCAGAGCCCTGTAGATCAATCTAATTCATTGTCTGAACTTAGTTTGCACAGAGAGGAGTAGGGAAAGCTCATGAAGGGGACACAGGTGCAAATACAGAGGGCACCCACAATCCTCACCAGATTAGAAAAAAAAGATTTAGAGGTACAAGGCATTTTGAAGTCTTCTGAGGGACTCCGTTTACTCCAGCACGTAAAAGTCTGTTTTGTATGGTGCAGACTATCAGTACTACACAACTCTGGAATCAGAGAGGTATAACTGACTTCCAAAACTTTGGGTTATGTTTGTGTCCCAGGGGTCCGTGCTCTTGTAGCAGAGTCTTATTCCAGCTTAGGCTTGTGTGCACTCTGCACTTAGAAAGCTCAGCTCTGATCAATTCTGAGCCCTACCTGAACTATGGGAGTTCATAGAAGCCTGTTTGGGAAAGAGTCTAGTTAGTCAAAACAGAAGTCTAAGTATAGGATTCCTAATGCATGGGGGACTAAGTCCTCTTAATGTACTAATACGAGGCCAGTGGATTTGTAACCATCACCTTCCCTTCCCTGGGAGATGCTGCGTTATTACAATTAAGATTTTGGCTGACTCTTTCTTGCTTTTGTAATTTTGAATTTTGTAGAAACTTGAACTGGATCGATTTATGCTGTATGCTCATGGACCTGACCTTTGTAGAGAATCAGACCTTCGGCATGCAATGGCTAATTGTTTTGAAGCATTAATAGGTAATTTATCTTTTCATATTCTACATTCTTACATGTCTAGACCATCTGGAGTACACGTAAAATTCAGTGTGGGAACTTGGGACAGAATTACTTGTTCCCAAAGTGTGTGAGGTCCCTGGTACGATCAGTACCCACTGCCCTGTATTATAGTTTTTCAGTCCTCCAGATGGTGATCATGTTCTCTGGCTTTTACAGTCTTGGTGCCCGAATTGGAATCTGGTATCATGCAGTTGCTTAGTAAGTGTTGAATGACTCGAAATGAAGTGGATTAATATGGAGATGGATGACTTTCCAGATTTGATTCAGAATCATACACATAAATAAACAGAAACTGGGTCATTGAAGACTCTTGTGTTGTTTTTGAGTACATTTTAAACTATTAGCAGTATTTTCTGATTTAAACGTCATGAAAACACTACATCTTTAAAATCTAGGCTTGCCTCTATATAACTATTATTTATTCATTTGAAGCCAGACTGATGTAGACACCTCACTCCTCACCCAGACACTTTGCTTCCTCAGCTGCTTTTTGACTCACCAGAATGCAGTTAGCAGTTGGTATAGGAAAGTTATGAAGAGTTAATTAGCTGGTGATTGCAAGTATGCTTTACGATGAAATGTTACAGTAGATTGACAATTTGATATTTTTAGGTAAATGATCAAGTACATTTTACTTTCAAAGGCCTTTGTACTTATCATTTTCGCCCCCTTCCTTTGAAAATGAATATAAAAGCTTTCCATTATAGTTTCATGGTGATGATAGTAGCAAGAGAATGTCTAATAATTATCCACAGTCTTTTCACAGCTATGTCTATTTTTCACAAATATGTCTGTTTTCAGGGAGTTTGACATGTGGAATTACTGTGCCCTGTACACATAATATTTTTGACAGTTGGTGTTAGCATTGGCTCCAGAGCTAGGCAGTTAATTCAGTTCCCTGCTCCATCATTTATCCAATACATGTCTTTGTCAAGTTATCTGCTCTCTTTGATCCTCAGTTTTCTCATCTGTGAGATAGGATCACTTACCTCCTTGTAAAAACTTACACAGAGCTGGTGTCAAGATCTTTTAATCTAACTCTGACAACATCTAATCGAGAACAAAGTTTCACTTGTTCAAGCTCTCCCTCAAATCAACCTAATACACAATATGAGCCTGAGTCTTTTCCAACATACTCTACCAAGATGTCCTGTGAAGAGAAAGATGAGAATGCTTGGCATGGTCCCCAGGGCTTAAGTAGCCTCCAAACCCCAGAAGCTACTACCGTTACTACTGTTATTATCAATATTGTTACTACAATTATTGATAAGTAATAAATGTATTTAGGCCGGGCCCAGTGGCTCACACCCATAATCCTAGCACTCTGGGAGGCTGAGGTGGGTGGACTGCTTTGAGCACAGGAGTTCGAGAACACCCTGAGCAAGAGAGAGACCTTGTCTCAACTCAAAAAATAGAAAAACCCAGCTAAGTGTCATGGTGGACTCTAATAGTCCCAGTTATTCTGGAGGCTGAGGCAAGAGGATTGCTTGAGCCTGAGAGTTTGAGGTTGCTATAAACTATGATGCCACCCAAAGTGACAGAGTGAGACTCTATCTCAAAAAAAAAAAAAAGGAATAAATGTATTTAGTTGTGAAAAACCCTGGTAACTAAGTATCTTAACATATTACATGGAAAAGTAGCCTTTGTGAAGACAAGTGTAAAAATTTGATTTCAAGAAAATATGAACGATACTCTATTACTGGATATGCAATTAAAATGTTATTGTGGTACTTGTTATGATTAATGCTAACTGTGTGCAGTGCTTAAGTATTTAGAATTAAAAGTAAAGGTTACCCTGATCTTTATTTGCAGAAGCCTTCCTTGATCTAGACTCAGGTTTTCCCTGCCAGGATTCTTTTTCTTAGGTACCTGTATATATTTGGTCTGAAACATAAACTATAAATACAAAAGATAAAATATAACATTTTCTTAAGTCAAATATTTGTGCATTTTACCCTTAGTAAGATTTATTTATACCCTTACTTTTCATGATAGTTCATATTGAGGCTCTTTTACTTACAATATTAGATTTTTTTAGTAAATTGAATTTTGTATTTGAGTCTAATTTATGATACAAAGAGTAGCTAAAGGAGGGAAATGTTACCTTTAAAGTAATTGCTTTGGAGCTTGATTTTTTTTTTTCCTGTGAGGGGTTTTCGGCTTGCCTCTTTGCTTTTTATAGAGATATGTAATTTTCTTTGAATATTAATGCGAGCTTCCTTTTGGCATTTTCTTCCTTTTATGTAGGAGCTGTTTACTTGGAGGGAAGTCTGGAGGAAGCCAAACAGTTATTTGGACGCTTACTCTTTAATGATCCGGTATTTATCTTGAGTCTTTTGAGTTCTCTCAGTTCTATATCATTATGGAAGATTTTGTTTCAGTTGGTCTTTGTTTCTTGAAGACTCTGTAGGAGAAACAAAACACCTAAATCTACCTACCGTAGGTGGTGGGTCCCCCCCCCCAAATAGCTTGTTTAACTCTTGCAGATGGGGAAGTTCCAGGGGCATTGCCACTAGGAATTTTTCTTTCACCCAAATCCTGCCTTTCTTCATAGTCATTTGTAAATTAAATATAAACTCAAATATAATACAACTTTGCTTCAACTTGAAGAATCTTCAAGTTAATTATGATGTTATATTTTATAATCATCGGGTACCTACCCCATGCAGGCTCAGTTGAAGTAATAGCCTTTTGGCTTTTCTGTTTGTTGTAATTTATTTTTATGTAAATTATGTAGACTAGATAAGTGTATATTTTAGTAGAAAGTCAGTTCATAGGGAGTTTCTGATAGGGCTCTGAATAAAGAGTATGGAAGCTCTTTTTTATGAAGCAAATTATAGTTTAAGGAAAAATGATAGATTCTAAAATAGTTTCTGTTGTTGCTAAAGTATTAAGCTGTTAATATTGCCAGAGATACCTTTTTAATCCTGCATGCAATAGAACATACTGGGTGCTTTTTGTACCAAAACAAGTCAATTTAACGTTTCAAGGGAGAGGCAGCTCTGTATTCCAATTTGAAATGTCATTCTAATTGAATGAAATAGCCCTCGTGGAGCAATAAAGAACACAGGAAGCTCATGTTTTAAGTCTCTGTGAAACCTTCAGCTTAAGTGGCTGTCAGATATTATTGCTGTGTTACTGTGGATAGCTTAAAAAAAAGGAATAATTTTGAAATATGAACTGGACAATGTTTGTTTCTGAAAAGTTGATCTTATATTTGTTTTTCTGGAGATGTGTGGTGGTTCCTGTGCAGGAATTTCTTCCTGATGGCAAAATTGTCCACTGGTGTTCCCTGTCCCCCATTTTTTCCCTACACATATAAACAGATGTGCACCCTGATTTGCACCTATAGCGTGTGGTGTCTATTTTAAGACTTTTCTCACAGTGCCTTGTTCTGGCCTTTGTCTTTATTTGGCTGTTTCAGCAAACTCTCTTCCGTTTCCTCCCTGCAGTCTGGCCTCTGTGTCCCCTGTCACCCCATAAACTCCTTCCACCATACCCACCTTTACCCTGTGGCCATCTCCCATCTTACAGCACCCCCGTCCACTCTGTGCTCCTGTATTTGGTGGGGGGAGGGTGTAAAGCACAAAAGAGACAGAAGAAAGATGAATCAGATGTCTCTGAGCATTTTGAGCTTTGGAGATTGGTGTTGCCATCATTATTAATGGTAGTATTTTCTGTGGGCCAGCACTGGGTTTAATGCTTTGGTACATTGCTTATTAGGGCATCAGAAAACCCACTGAGTGGGTCTTGTAATTATCTTTGTCTTTTGCTTGAAGAAATGGCGGCTGAGGGAGGTGAAGTGAATTGCCAACACAGAAGTTAGGTTTAGACCCAGACAGCCAGACTTCTAAGCCTGCTGTCTTCTCTAACTACAAATCCACAGTTTAAGGGGAAAGGTGAAAAGTTAGCCTTTGTTTGTGTTGTGTGTAAGGTCATAGAGGCCCATAGGCATTTGGAGTTATAGACCCCAATCTATAGGGCCCATTGCCGAGATAAGAGGTCAGTGCTGCAGTGGAAACGAATGAGTAGTCCAGACTGGCCTCTGAGAGTTAAAGCAATGAGAGTTGTGGGTTCTGCAGAGGAGATGGTAGTGAATAGCTCAGGCAAGGGGCTGAAGTTTGGGTGGTGAAGGAAGGGACAAAGCATTGAGAGAACACTGGGAGGTTGTAAGACAGGAACATTCGTTGTCATTTATACTACAGAGATTTCAAGGGAAAGGTTCTGAATTGGTTAAGAGAAGCCCTTTAAAATGCCTTTGAAGAACAGTTTGATATAAGTGCTTTTTAAAAATGCTATAAAAATATCCTAAGTGTATTTTATTAAAGAGCAAGTTATACAAAAACATTAAGTATTTTATTTCTTTTTATCTCTGTGTGTCACAGCTCTACTAAATTTTCCTGTATTTCTTATCCACCTCTCCCCCACAAAAAAAAAACCTTGGAAAAATATTTTTTCCTGTTTTCAAATTTTGTTTTGTTTATTTTATAAACCTAACATCAAGGCCAACAAGTCGATTCAGTCAAAGGCTCTCTAGATCTGAAACTGAAAGAAAAACACTTCGATTCGGAGGCCGTTCTAATTATAACTGCTCCTAGATTTAACTCAGCGGATGAAATGGTGTACTAGGGTTTTTCATAAAATTCATTCATTCCAGCTGTTCAAGTTAGCAATTGTAGTGACCAGCAGCAAAGCATGGTCTCAAATGTAAGAGCTGATGAACAAGATTGGGATGTTTTTCACTCCATCTTAAAACAGCTCAGATGATTATTAATTGGTGCCTAAAATAAAGGACATTTGGAATGAGTTTTAATTACAAAAGGCCCAGCTGATGCACATTTCTGGGGAATGGGAAGTCAAAAAAATATGATTAAAGAACAGCCCTATCCAGTGTATGAGGTTAAGCAAATGTGTAACTTAGTTTTAAAAGGTGTCTTTGACTTCTGGGGCTGAGGGTATCTCTTTTCCTCCCGAGCTTAATAGGCTAATTAGAGTCACTACAGGCAGTTTGAGTGGTGAATACACTTTAAAAAAAAAAATTAGTTTGCTAGCACTATTGAATTTGCAATAAGTGGAGTCAGCATCTGAAATAGTTCAATATTTCAAATAATGACATTTTATTTAGTACTCTAGAGTACGTTAAATGGCTCCCTTGAGCATTAAAGGCATCACTCCGTTTTCCAGGACCTGCGTGAAGTCTGGCTCAATTATCCTCTGCACCCACTCCAAGTGAGTATGACCTTCCTGTCTGCAATGAGCTTTATAACTCCGGCTGTTCATGTGACTTTTGTTTGCCTTTATTCCCTTCCCGCTTTTATCCTTTCACTCCCTTCACTGACGGTATACCTTTAAGCTGGGGTGTAAGAGCTGGAAAACGTTGGAATAAATAATAAAAAGAACCTGTTTACGTGGTCTGGGCTGAGATGGGGGTGCCTTACCATGCAGGGAGAGCTCCCGTGTAGCTGTGGGGTGCTCCCCCCCACTGGCAGGTAAGCACATGTTGATTCCAGAGTATCTACACACTTGCTGTTGTAGGTGAAATAGTAGTGAATCTGAGCATGTGAAAGAAATAGAACATTAACATTGCTAGATCGCAGACCAATTTGGATCTTAGGAATTGAGAGCTATTCCAGATTGTATTGAGAGTTAAACTCAGATTGCATAAAATGTATTGTAAATTAAAAATACTATTCAGTATAGCGCAATGGCTTTTTACTCAAGATTTTGGAATTTAAAAGTTATATGTATGGTGATGCCGTTTTCCCTGATTGGTTTAAACATTCTTAGTAGTCTTGGATTTTATTTTATTTTGGGATGTATGTGTACTTGTCAATATGCATCTGCTCACTCACCTACACATGTTCTGATATGTGTATATATGTATAAAGAAATGTAAGAGGAATCATTAATGGCTGAGTTCTCATGAGAAACTTTACAGCAGTAATGCTATTAATTCAGAGTTTCTAAACAATACCTTAGTCATACAAGAGAATCCTAAAGAGTTGAAAATGCTCATTTTCATTACACCTTTCACATTTGCTCTCTGCACGCTGTTAGAGGCTCATTGTTAGGTGGGCGCCACCTGCCTGTGGTGCAGTAATCTTCAGTGTGAGCTGACTTCGGTTTTAGTGATGCTCAGATTGGGTTGGTCCCTAGAAGACGCACAGTGGTCTACTAATTTTAATACAGTGGTTCTCAAAGGACAAGTCCTGAGACCAGCAGCATCTGCTTCAGCTGGGAACTTTTCAGGAAGACAAACTCTCAGTCCTCACTGCAGACGTATGAAATCTGTGACCTTGGGGGACAGGGCCAGGCCATCTGTGTTTAACAAGCCCCTCACGTGTTCTCATAAATGCTTAAGTCTGAGAACTACTGCTTTACTAAACGTATATATTCTCTACCAGCTGCTCTTCAGCTCACATCTTCCTCGGAGAGTTAGTATAATACTTGGGATTTTGAACTATCTGTGTACAGTACTTGGCCTTGAAATCTGACAGAAGATTGGAAAATATTATTTGAGTCTTCTTTAAATATTAGGTTTGTTTACCATTCTAAAAGATGAAAAAGAAGCATCTGTGTTTTATTGGCATTTTAGAATTTCTGCCCATGGGAGAAGGAATTTCACAAAACACTGTCCTAGAATTGATCATTCATTACTCTTGTAACCAAAAACTGCACATGACTTTTATTTATTTCTGTTTTCCTGTAGCTACAGGAACCAAATACCGATCGACAACTTATTGAAACGTCTCCAGTTCTGCAGAAACTTACTGAGTTTGAAGAAGCAATTGGAGTAATTTTTACTCATGTTCGACTTCTAGCAAGGGCATTCACATTGAGAACTGTGGGATTTAACCATCTGACCCTGTGAGTGACCGACTACTTATGTAGTCTTAACATGACCATTTAGACGAGGTGATCTCAAAGCTTTGGTGTCTGTCCTTCTAGGGAATTGGGATTTCAAACAGATTCCTGGGAAAGTCATGTTGTGAGATGGACAAGCAGTCCAGTACTGGTGCGGACCAGGGGATATGCTCCAATTCAGTATTTTGGGTCCCATTGTCATGCATCTTGTTTCTCTGTGTACATTTAAGAGAAGTCTGAAGGAAGTAGAAACTTTTCATGCAATAACAGATATTAAGTATTAATCAGGGGTGTCCAACCTGTGGCCCCTGAGCCCCATGCAGATTATTTTAGGACTGTTTTGCTTATCAGTAGTGTTGGCTATTATGAAAAACATTTGCACACCTTTTGCTCATCACCTTTTGTTAGCGTTGGTGTATTTATTGTGTGGCCCCAAACAATTCTCATTCTTCCAGTCTGCAGCAGAAAAGAAAGATGGTTGGATACCTGTGCTGGTCTTTGTAGGCTATGTGACTCAACTCGGCCATCATAACATAAACCCCACAAACGTTTGAGCGTGGCTGTGTTCCAGTAAAACTTTATTCCTAGACACGGGCCAGGGGTTGGATTTAGCTCTGTGACCCTTTGCTCTCGGGTGAATGATTCGAAGAGAAGTTAGTGAAATAATTAAGAAAATAAGCAAAATTTTGTTTCTTTGGGGTTGTTTTTTGTTGTGTTTTTTGCTCCCTTTTTCCATATCAAATACTCTCCTGTCTTTAAACTATAAAGGTTAAATATTTTTATTATAGATATTTTTAAAAAATCTGGATTACAGATTTGAATAATAGAGTATATATTTCAATAGATTTAGCAAAGACAATTCTTGGACCTTTTTGCTCTGTTTTGTTACATGAGTGCTGTTTCTGTTATACTTTATTTTTTCATTGACACTGCTCAGCTTCTGACTAGGCAGTGCTTAGCGTTGTTTAAGCCGTAGACAGTATATACTTTACTCTTCTTTGAAACCCAACATATATTAACTCAGATCTCTTCTCAATTGAAGAGCCTTAGGGAATTGTATTTATTTTGTGCTTTAAGACAAGATGAACATGTTGCCTTTCTATCTTTTAAAAATTCTGTTTTTTGTTTTTTTTTTTTTTTAAGTCCCCAGATGCTTATTGATCTCTTTACATTGATGTTTCTTTTTTCAGAGGCCACAATCAGAGGATGGAATTCTTGGGTGATTCCATAATGCAACTGGTAGCCACAGAGTATTTATTCATTCATTTCCCAGACCATCATGAAGGACATTTAACTGTGAGTTTGTGTTAAATCACTCCTTCTGATAAGAAGACTGTGTAATAGGGAGTGAAGATGAGAGGTGCCACGTATATATTTCTGTATCGATGATTTAGTTTTTAGTGATGATAGCATGTTGTATGGCTCTGTTTATTTCACTGTGCAGATTATTTATAAAGCGAACTTGAGATAAGAACTCATTTTATGCTCTTTACTGATCTCCTACTCTGTGTAAGACATTGAGATGGGCCTCATGAAGGGAGCAGAGATGTTTTGACGTCTTTGAGAGATAAAAGTACAAATAAATAACTAAAATAAGTATTACTTTAAAACAAGTATAATTAATACTTATTAACACTAAAATAAGTATTATACATAGTGTTTGCACATAAATACACACTGTAAATAGTAGAAGTAAGTAGTTATAACTGAAGGCCAGGTAGAACCTGTTAAATCTGATAAGGAAGCTGAGGTAAATAGCTACATTTGAGCAGTTTAGGAAATGATACAAGATTTTTTCTAGCTCAGGAGTTCGAAAAAGGCTTCATGGATATGATGATGTTTGAGCCCTTGAAGAAGGGTTAGGATTTGGCCACTGGGAGTTAGTGGGAGGACATTTCTATGCATGGACGTTCCACACACTGGGATTGCAGACATAGGGGGGCCTGGTGTGGAAAAATCAGAAGATTGAAAGGCAGTGGGGACTCAGTTTGGTAGATCCTGGCAGAGTTGAAAGGGAGGTACAGACATAGGATTGATTTATAAACAAAGTGAAATGGTCCCCATTCCTCTTACTTTTGTTTCATTTTGTGAAACGTTCTCGTACTTTTTTATTTGCCCTCTACTGTTTTTACTTTGAAGCCAATCAATAATATCCCTGGAATGGTGAACAAAACATATCTAGAAACCATTTGTGATGATCTCTCAAGGCACAAGGAGTAAGCTTTGAGAAGTCCCCTTAGGATTAGGCATTGTGAAAGCGAATACTTTACTGGGCAAAGAAAAATAGTGGTACACTACAGGCAACTTTGTTAGTGCAGACTTTATTATGCTGAAGCAAATAACAAGTCTTTCATACTTCGCATCTCTACAATTTTTATGCATGTTTTGCTTTGAATAGAATTGGATTTTATCTTTGTAGTTGTGAACCCTAGAAATAGTTTATGTGAGACATAAATATTGGAGCTCGGGAAACTATGGTGATTTGGCTAAGTTTAGATGTGATTTTTCAGTGGAATATCTAAGCCCAGCGTTCATTCAATGAATATGTATCGAGCTCCTACTATGTACCATGTTGGTGCCATTATAAGACTGAGGGACCAGCCATACTCTTATTTTAAATTAACAGTTTGATTACGATTTAAAGTTCACTGCTTTTAGATGGACAGGAAAGTGTTTCCTTCCTGAGTTAATATTAAATTCTTAAAAATAATGAACATCTATGAGCAATAAATGAGTATTTAGTATCTTACTCTAAATTAAGAAAACAGCAAATTACATGTTCGTTTTCCTCTGTGAGGGAATAGACTTCATAGGTGTCAGAATATCTGGGTGGTCTGAGAAAGGGCTGCACCAAACCAAATAGCTTGAACTAGTGATTCATATCATGGCCCTAAAAGAGGCCTCTGTTAAAAATGTGTGTTTTAAATACACACACTTTCCCTGGGGTTCCTAAGGAATTAATTGTGAACTCTAGGATCTTATGGAGATGGATGTTGTTGATTGACAATTTTACTATTTCCCATCTGCCTCCTGCGTTCATTACCACCAGCCATGAACAGATCATGAAACCAAAGCTCAGAGAGGCACGAGTCCTGCCCATGGTCTAGATAAAGGTAAAACTAGGACTATGCGAGATATTCTAGCTCTGGGTTCTTTCCAAAATCACTTCAATGCCAGAACTGTACTTTTATCCAAAATGTTAATTATCCTTGCAGTCTTAAAATTAGAGAGTTTTTGACAAGCTCAGTGGAATTGTATTAACAAATGCCAGAATTATGATACAATGGTTTTATGAAGTACATCTATAGAAAGCTTTGGTGGGAATCAACAGGACGAGCAAAGTTTGCTGTCGACATCAAGATGATCTGTCACAAATTAAAGACGTGGTCTTAAAAGATACCAGCTCACATGGCCATTAACATGATTGCTCCTCCCCCCCGAAACACTGTTGCCCTCTATCTCCACCCTCCTGGGCTGCTTCTCACCTCTTAGCTACTCTTCTTTAGCCTGCTTTGCAGGCTCACCTTCTTCTCTGCAGCTCATAGGGATTGCAGTACCTACTAGGCTCACTCTTTTTCTTTTTTTGAGACAGAGCCTCAAGCTGTCCCCCTGGGTAGAGTGCCGTAGCATCACAGCTTACAGCAACCTCCAACTCCTGGGCTCAAGTGAGTCTCCTGCCTCAGCCTCCCAAGTAGCTGGGACCACAGGCCCCTGCCACAACACCCAGCTATTTTTTAGTTGCAGCCGTCATTGTTGTTTGGCAGACCTGGGCTGGAATCGAACCTGCCCCCTTAGGTGTATGTTGCTGGCGCCTTAGCCACTTGAGCCACAGGCACAGAGCCACAAGGCTCACTCTGGAGCAGTGTTCTTTCTTATTCTAATTTCTCCTGGGCGTCTTTGTTGTGTATATCATCAGTTTCAGCCCATTGGCACGTGACTTCCAAACTCGTCTCTTCAGTCCCTTCTCTTTCCAGCGCTCCAGCCCCAGCTGCCTTCTCAATATCTCAACATATCCGAGACTGAATTTATAATCTTCTCCCCCCGCCCCCCGCAGTGTTCCCGAGTAATTGAATGGTAATGTCACCCATCCAGTGTTGCAGGCCAGAAAGCTGGGAGTCATCCTTGATTCCTCCCTCTGTCTCCCTTGTCTATATTTCAGTTTATTCACAGGTCCTGACAGTGCTAGTCCTTGGGTAGCTCTTGAATTTATCCTCTCCTCCCCACCCTGTCTTTGTCACTGACTTGATCCCTGCCAGCCTCACTCTCTTGGCCCAGTGCAGTGATTTCTGCACACCTATCAAGATGTCACAGGAATGTGATTAACAAAGAGACCCAATTGGAAAGAGTGACATTTATTAAATAGCAAAGGACGAGAATTGTAGGTTGTATTCATACACAGCACAGGGCAGTGTCACATCCTCCCACAAGAGGAGTGCGCCCTCCCCCCTCCCCAGGTTTCCCCTGAAGTGTATGCTACTATTTGAGAAACTTGCCTTTGCTGTTTTTGTAGGTATTTTTATATACTGAGAGATGGACAGATTCACAGGCAGAAATCCTCCAAAAAGCTTGGCCTTGCCCTCCTGCCCAGCCTCAAGCCACATGTCCGTCTCACTCTGCACCAGCCTACTCTGTGTTTCCCCACGTACCCTCCTGCCAGCCAGTGGCCTTTGTGCTTCCTGCCCTTACTGTCATCTGCCTGGTGCCTCTTGTTTTCCGTTAGATGTCAATTCTAGCATGACCCTGACCCTGGATGCAGGGAAACTTTCCCTGACCACCCCGTGCTGACCCCAGTCTTCAGCACAATTCTCTGTTCTCTTCCTTCCTGGCACTGGTGTCAGGTTGCCCACCCCACGAGGCTAGAAGTTCTGGGAGAACATGCTTTTGTTCACCAAGTGCCTGGCATATGGCAGGCTCTTAATGCATATTTGGTAAATAAATTAAAAATTGCCCGTTTTGTAGGCAGCTAAGTTATATTCTGAGGGAAGAGGAAGTGGCATAGGAAAGAAGAGGCATGTTGTTATGTGTATAAGGGAGGAAACAGAAAACTTATAAATATCTGAGGATTAAACTTAATGTAAGATCTGTAGCAAATTACAAGTCCTTACTTTCGTTGCATTGGGAGGGAAGGGCAAATGATTCGTCATTGTGATTACAGAGCATGGGCTGCAGTAATTCACATTGGGGGAGGCATTGTCAGCTTTGAGCCATTCTCTTGCACACTGGTTTTTCAGGGAATAAGGACAGTTGAGCAAAAGTAATCATGGTTGTCAAGTTTTGAATGCTGATGGGGAAAAACATTTCGTTCTATAAATTATCAATTCAAAAAGGCCTACTTGGGAGAGAATGTTAGGCTTACGGAATTGTTCTAGGAACAAACAAACAAAGCACTATCACATGGAGGATGAGGGTTAAAAAAACTTGTTCTAGAATAACTGGGTTTGAATTAGGATATAGAAGGAAGAGGTGCTATTTGATACACTGACATTTTTGTTTCTTAGGATAAGCCCATGCATAGGGTCAGGGTGAGTAGTGAGAAGATCTCAGAGAAAGCATTTATTCAGGTCAGCGTTCCTGTCTGTGACACTTGCAGATTTCAGGCCCCAGGAGCTTCTCCTCTGTGCCCGGCTTCTCTCTTAGCCTTTACTGTGTGCTGACACTAGTTGCTAATTCCCGTGCCTACTGTGTGCGAGGCACAGAACCCAATGGTGGCACACACCAGCCAGATGAACCCCGAGAAGTTTGTTTTTAGAGGAATGGTTTGGGATAATGAAAAAGAGAACAAGGATTACAAACAAAAAGCTTGAGAACGAGTGATCTAATCCTGCCCTCCTGCCTCCAGACAGCACTGAGCATGAATCATTCAGGCAGACTGATATTTTATCCAGAAGATCTCTTTGAGAAGATAGATTCCACAGCCTCCTGTTTGAAGATTTCTCTGTCACTGACATAATTTGGCTCTTTGTATCTGACCCGTATTCTGCCTGCTAGCATTTGTGTACCTTTTTTTTAGTTATCACAGGAAATGGGGACCATCTGGCTGCCACTCTTGGTATAATAGACCTGTGTGGCACATCACTGTCACTTTTAATAGTACATTTTGCTTTCATCCCGTGTTCTTATATTAAAGCCCTTAAAATAATAAATCACAGTCTACTTATTTTACACTAGGTGGCCCTCTTTGGTTGCTCATTCCCACAGCTGTGGTTTTTCTCTTTAGAATCAAGAGTGAATAGAGAAGTTAAAGGAAGAACGCCAATGTGTGTGTTTGATTTAGACCAGTAAACCTTTTTCTTATGATGACTGAAGTTTGCAGTGATTGTGAAAGACTCCTCTGCTGAGACAGTAGAAAACATCCTGAATTCTCAAAAGCAGAATTCGAGATTTGGGGTATTCCCGTTGTTCCCTGACACTGTACCAGGGATTCAGAAATCCTTTCCTCAGGTTTACAGAGAGCCCCAATTACAGCTTTGTGTTGTTATTTCTTGTGATCTCAAATTAAACTCTGTCTTTTGGGGGGGTGAGATATTGTTAAGGATAGGCTAGCACCTTGTAATATGGAGAGCTTTGAGTTCAGTGAGTAAGATAGGTATGTGGAACATTTTGCGTTGCAAATAAATCCAGAGGAATCGGTAGAGTTTTCTTGAACCCCTTTCCCTGACACTGATGAGCAAGTTTCTTGCCTGATACTGATGTTGCCATGTGGATAACAACCGCAGATAACATTTCTAGTGTTTTTATTATGTGCCTGTCACTGTAATTAGATTGTGTCGGGTTCATTCTAATTCTCATAACAACCTCGTGAGGAGAGTACTTTGTTTGTTTTTTTAAGAGACAGAGTCTCACTTTTGTTGCCCTCGGTAGAGTGCTGTGGTGTCACAGCTCACAGCAGCCTCCAGCTCTGGGACTTAGGCAATTCTCCTGCCTCAGCCTCCTGAGTAGCTAGGACTAGAGGCGCCTGCCACAACACCTGCTATTTTTTGATGCTGTTTGGCCGTGGCTGGGTGGGAACCCTCCACCCTCAGTATATGGTGCCAGCACCCTAGTCACTGAGCCACAGGTGCCACCCCTGAGGAGAGTACTTTTCTACATTTTATAGATAAAGAAACTGAGGCTGAGAGAGGTTTGATAACTTATACAAGGTTACTTAGCTAGGAAGTGCTGGAGCCACGGTTTGAGCCCAGGCAGCTCGGTGCCAAATCTTTTGCTTGTTTACTACTCTCTTTGACAAAAAGCACTGCTTGCAAACTAGTCCAATAACTGCCTTGTGCTCAAAATTGGGTACTGAACGTGTTTTTTAGATTGCTACCAAAAAATAAAAATAGATGTTTCCTCCTTATAAAATAATAATTTATACCATCAACATCTGCAGGCTCTCCAACTTTATGTCTTACCCCATCTAAGGCCTTCCACCAAAAGGATTTTCAAAATAGAACAATTATCGTGGCTAGATATAGTGGCTAATGCCTGTAATCTCAGCCCTTTGGGAGGCCAGGCTAGGTGGCAGAATTGCTTGAGACTAGGAGTTTGAGCTAGCCTGAGCAATGTGTAAGACCCTCTGTCCCCTTACACGACATAGAAAAATAAGCTAGGCATGGTAGTGTGTGCCTGTAGTCCCAGCTACTTGGGAGGCCAAGGCAGGACTTAGAGGTTCTGGCGAACTAGGATGAGCACTCTAGCCTAGGCAAGAGAGTGAGGCCCTGTCTCAAAAAACCTCTCGACTGCCCCCATTTAACACCGTTTCGGATTCCTCATCACCTGTAGGAAAGTCTGGAGTTCACCTGCCAGCCATGCCTGCACCGGCTTCTCCCACTTGGCTCTGACTGTTCCTCCGGGCCCACCCCACGGTTACCTTACTGTGCTGGGGCCCCTTGCTCTTGCCATAGCTGTTTTCTCCTAAAGATCTTTTCGCACCTTTCTCCTGGCTGACTCAGTCTTTTCACTTCTGATTCTATGTTCATTGGAATCCACCTACATGGATTCTTTTCACAAGGCATGTGTCCAAGTTATATCTTCAGAAATTTTGGTTCCTTGGTTCTTGGAAGAAGCCTGGACACCAGCATCTGCTATTAGACTCAGATGGATGAGCCCCTGAAACGTGTTTCTTTACTCAGGAGTCGGCTCTAAGGAGGCCTTCCTGAGCACCTGTGTGTTCCTGGGGTCTCTGCTAACACTGCAGCCACCAAAGTGCATTGCAGCGGCCAGTCTGGATGTGGCTTCTCAGAAGGGTGTCGGTTCCCAAGGACAGCAGCAGGACACTGATGCTCTGGGGATCTTTAGCTGTCAGTGCAGGGCCTGGCGCGTAATTGCCTCTAGGACTGGTCCGTGGCACTGACATGACTTCGCAAGGTTTCCTTCCTTGCTCATCCCCCCTGGATCTTGTTCTTTGGCAAATAACATGATTCATTATGAAATAGAGTTCAGCAAAGGACAAGGATGAAAGTTGTCATTTAAAGAACTGCCATTCAGACTTTCTTGTCTAGGTAAAGAGCAAGGTCTTATCTCTTTTCAACTCATCTTCTAAATTTAAACTGACTGTGAAAATATGGATGATTTATAGCTTCCTTCTTCCCTACTGACTTTTGGTTCAGGCTCTAGGATTTTTGGCAAGAACTTACAGATTTCACTTTCTCCTGGCCCCCCGGCTGTTTTAAGACCTGTCAGGGCTTGTCTTAAATAAAACTGGGAGCATTTCTGTTTCCTTCCTCACTGCTTTCCTCTGTCCCTGTCAGCCGGCGTTACCGTACAACGTTGAATGAGGGGCCCTGACAGGGGAGGTGCAGCTGGGGCTGGTAACCAGTGATGGATCATAATTTGTATGTGCACGCATGTGCATTGGGCCTGTTGGTACCGAGGCTTGAATGTTCCATCTACACAGCCTTAGGAATTTTCTACTCACTCCAAAAGCATTTATCTGTAGAGGACCCAACTTGCTCAGCATGGCATATTCTCAGAATTACCCTGCTATGTGCCCACAGCCTCTCCTTTCACAACTGCAACCTCCAGTCCCCGTTTAAAATCAAACCAAAAAAGATATGTTCATTCCAGTTCACTAATTTGTGGTTGAGGGTGGGGAGGGTTGTTTGTGCAGGGGGGTGGGGAATTTGGACCGTTGGAAACATATAACATTTTCAAAACTCATCTAACTATACACTTAAAATGGGGTGCATTTTATCACATATAAATTATACTCCTTATTTGTTTGGTCTTCTATTAAAAGCTGGGCTTTTACAATTTTGAGCCTCTCTATGGGCATTGGTCTTAAAGCAACATTATATGGAAGAAAAGGTGCAGTAAAGGGGGAAACAGGGAGGAAAGACGCAGAGACAGGCGAGGAATAACAGTCAGAAATTCCACAGCAAGCACGGCTTACGGAGATCAAGTTGTATATCTGCTTCATGAATCATTGTCAGACAAATTAAGAACATATTGTTTCTTATTTATCTGTTGTCAAGGATTCAATATCAGACATTGAGAATAAATCTTGATTTTCATAAGCTCTGTTGACACGGTGGAGCCACAGAGCATAAAACTTGCATCTAATAAACAAAGTGCGGCGGGAGGTGCGGGGGTGCGACACCAGCACAACGCGCAGCTGCGTCCTGCTCTCCTTCCCGGCTTTCAGGGATGTTTCCTGGCAGGACGTTTTTTAATGGGCCAAGAATTTGTTATATCTGTTAGGAGAAAAGCTGTAGTTTGGGGGACGTCATTCCCCCAGATCTTAGAGATTGGGGCTAATTATGTTCAGTTTTTGTTTGGTGAGTTCCCATCTTTGCATCCACCCATTTCTCCCAGCCTCCCTCCCCAGCTCTAACCCCTAGTGAGTGGTTAATGAGTGTTAAGTCCTAAGCTATGCTTGTTTTATGGACACCTCTATGATGGATTGGTTGCATAATTTTCATGCAGTATCTAATAGCACAACTTAGATAGTCCTTGGAGGACTCTTAGCTGTCTGAAATGTCCAGTAGAAATTTTTGCTTTGAATTCCTGATGTTGAAATATGAAAAATGATATTTTAATTTGATCAAAGATAAAGGATCTCAGTATGAAAAACTAAGACTCAGGATATATAACACCAATCTTTATAATAATAATAAAAGTAAAAATGTAAATAAATAATCCAAATCTTTTCCTATAATACCTGCTATACCTTCCTTAAGTTTTATAACATCAAAGTCGACACAATGCCATTAAACTTGAAGCTTAAATTTGAAAAATAAAACTAACATACAGAAGGCAGGCCAAGTTTGCCTGCTTGGGGGTTGGGGAGGCTTGGTGGTAAGAGGGTACAGGGAATTTGGAATGATGGAAATATGTAAGGTTGTCAAAGCTTATCTTACTGTACACTTACAACGGGTGCATTTCATTGAATATAAATTATACTATAATAAAATGGATTTTTGAAACTTTTAATGCTTCCTAGGTCTGGGCACAATGGCTCATGCGTATAATCCTAGCACTCTGGGACATCTTTTATCCTAGCACTCTGGGAGGCCTAGATGTGGGTGGATCACCTGAGCTCATGAATTCTAGTCTGAGCTAGAGTGAGACCTCATCTCTAAAAATAGCCAGGCATGGTAGCAGGCACCCAGCTACTCGGGAGGCTGAGGCAAGAGAATTGCTTGAGCCCAAGAGTTTGAGGTTCCTGTGAGCTATGATGCCACAGCACTCTACCCAGGGCGACAAAGTGAGACTCTGTCTCAAAAACAAAACGAAAAAACCTTTTAATGCTTCCTCATTTAGTAGCATTACACTTAAAAAAGCTATGACCTTTAATCAATCTTTCCCAACCCTGTCCAACTGCTAATACAGAAGTAAATGAGCTATTTAAATGACATGTAGATAAATCCAGGTAAGCAAAGCAGAGTGAGTTACTGAGAAACACTGGCTGTGTGTGGTGGATGTCAGTGTCATCTGAGGGTCACGGGAGTGCCTAGACCATCAGTTACCTTGGTGTCCCTGTCACGAGATGCTCTCAGTCATGTTGAGTCCCACACGGGAGCAAGAAAGATGGTTTCTAAATGTACCCCACTTCCTTTTGGCCAGCTGTTACGAAGCTCTTTGGTGAATAACAGGACTCAGGCCAAAGTGGCAGAGGAGCTGGGCATGCAGGAGTACGCGATAACCAACGACAAGACCAAGCGGCCCGTGGCCCTCCGCACCAAGACCTTGGCAGACCTTTTGGAGTGTGAGTCCTACCGATAAAGCGTTTCTTTCTATGTGCAGGGTTGAAGTTTAAATCCAACCAACCAGTATTTATCCTCCTGCTTCTTGTTGTTATTATAATATTTTCTGACTAAACAAACCTTTTTTCTATTTTAATTATTATTTGTGCTTTTCACCAAAGCTTGTCCCAAGGAGAATAATTTGGGATTTTGACATGTAAATAATGAACTTTATGTTCAATTCATGTTCAGCAGCCCAATCCCCACCCCTCCAACCCAACCCTAAGCCATCATATCCCTTTGTGTGAAAGAATAACAAATATGAAGGCCCGTAGTTTGAATCACAGCTTTTCTGCCCCCCATCAGCCTTCACACAGGGGCACAGAAGAAAGAAGGACAACTTATTCACTAAATGCTAAAACTATTATCCATTGTTTTGAATGAGCATAAAGCTCTATGGACAAATGTCATCTTTTGCAGTTTCTGATATGGTCTGATAGCATTGTAAATAATCCTATTATAGCCAACTAAAGGATTATACACATAATTGATATTACTTCAAAATAAGTGGGCCATTCACTGGGCCTTAGAACTTTTTTTAATATTGTGGTATTTTTGACAATTGGAATTATATTCAGATATCAAAGTCCACCATGCAAAACCAGCTCATTTACAAAGTGCAAGGCAATCTGACTAAGGAACTTAAAAGAACTTCTTTTTCAACTAAAGAAAAGTAATTTAAAGATGAAAATTACAGGAAAATTAAATTGAGAGAGCAGTCTCACTGGCATTTCTTTTTTAGCTCAATTATAATTATTATTATTATTATTTTTTTTTTTTTGGTTTTTGGCCGGGGCTGGGTTTGAACCCACCACCTCCGGCATATGGGGCTGGCGCCTTACTCCTTTGAGCCACAGGTGCCGTCCAGTTATAATTATTTTTTATTCCTTCTTTTAAAAAGGCACCATTTATTTATTTGGTTAAGGTAGTTTTTTATGAAATCTTCTTAGGGGTCACCATTTATTAATGAAAAATTGATAGATTGTTATGTTGTCATTAAGCCCAGTATTAAGATTTTCTATATTTGAGTCCATTGAATCTATAAATTGTCCTGCTTCTGTTTATGAAATTTAACATAATACCCTTATAAAATGGTTGATCTCCTCAAGATTGGTGTTGAGAAGTACAAGACCCAAGGATGTAACCACTTAGGTTATCCCATAATAACCTTCTGGCATCATAACTAACCTTCAAGTTGTGTTTTGATTTATTCGATGCTAAGGAGATTGTGTTCCCAGAAACCATTCATTTGGCCCTTAGCTAAATGAAATTTGGTCTTCGTACTCCATGGTTTCCATCTTACACATCTGTGTTGCTGCTTCTCGTATTAATAATAGACAGTAGAGTCTTATTTGAAGAAAGATGAAATGGTAATGCTAAAAATTAAAGAGGACCTAGAAGTTGAAAACCTTATTGAAATGTTGCTTAAAAGTCTGGGTTTCTTACTTTTTCTGCTAAAGGCAATGACATGGAGTTTATTTTAAAATGTTCTGTCTCCAGCGTTTATCGCAGCTCTCTACATTGACAAGGACCTGGAGTACGTTCATACTTTCATGAACGTCTGCTTCTTCCCACGATTAAAAGTAAGCTCACATGGGGTTTAAATTTGGGGTGTGCTTTATGTTTGGTAATTCCAGAACACATCACTAAATACCACTGGGGGCTTCCACAGGAGTTCATTCTGAATCAGGACTGGAATGACCCCAAGTCCCAGCTTCAGCAGTGCTGCTTGACCCTCAGGACGGAAGGGAAAGAGCCGGATATTCCTCTGTACAAGTAAGGACTTGCTGCCCGCAGGCCGCTGCAGCCAGCGTCCCCAGGGTTGGTTTTCCACGGACCTTGAGGAAGAATTAGTTATTGCGGGGTAATCATGACAAGAACCCAGGATGTAGACTTCCTGTCAGTGTGACTCTGGGCCTCAAATAAGTGGTTCTCACTGGATTGCCTCGTGCTTCCCCCATTTCTGACATTCTCTGTCAGCTCCTGCTGGTAGGAAGGCAAACTAGGATGATGGGAGCAAGATAAGGGAGCTGGGGTGAGAGGGTTTCATATACACAGCTAATATCTGTAATGGTTTTCTTGTTGTAACCTCTGCTGGGCTGCGCATCCAGATGCGAAGGTGGCACCTGCTTATTTTTGACAATACTTGGCTGCCTCTCTGTCCTTGCCTCGGACCCTGCTGGCCTCTGTCTCTGTTGCCTGACAGCGGTGCTTCCCCCACAGGGCCATTGTAAGAAGCAGGGCAGTTGCTCGATATTTGGAAGTTTTCTTCTCAGAATACATACCCCAAACTGCCATATACTTCCTTGTTTTTTAAGTTTTCTTTTTTTTATTTCAAATTAATATGGGGATACAAACTTTTAGGTTACATTGTTCTCACTTCCAAGGCAAAGTTCAAGTTGTAAAAGAGCCCCTCACCCGGTGGGTACCATGCACTTGTGAATATCTTTTTCCTTTGATTGTTAGCCAACGTCATTCAAAAGCAATGTAGTGGAGTATTGGGTCACTACACCACGAATCGCCCCTTTTCATGAAAACAGGCATTTTGGCTCTGAAGAAGACCAATTATTCTGAGACACTCACATGTTCATACAGGAGGTAGTTTCAAGGAGGAGTTACAAAATGAAGGGATTGTTGAGATAGGTTGGCTGCATGTCAAAGTACTGTGATTTCAAGGTGCTTAAAGATCTGGCTTCGGGGGCGCCTATGGCTCAAAGGAGTAGGGCACTGGCCCCATCGGGTTCAAACCCAGCCCTGGCAAAAACTGCAAAAAAACAAACAAACAAAAAAGATCTGGCTTCGACCCTGTGCGACCCCGTGTCCGTGCACACGCCTGGCTGCAGACATACGCATGTGCGGGTATGTGTTCCACGCGAGTCAACGCCTCCCTTTGGACTTTCTCAACCTTCACAGTTCTCAAGGAAAAACACCAGAGTGGCAGCTGGGAATTTTAAATACTTTTTCATGTTTTTATGTAATAGTCACAACACTTTATAGACTTTTTTTGCTAAAAGAAAAACTAAGACCGAAGGAAAGTTGAGTCACCCCACAGCGAGCTGCTATAAATTGTGCCAAGATGCTGTCATTGCTGAACAATATTTCTTTGATTTATTGGGAAAAATTCCCCAAATGTTTAGAAATAGCACTTTAATATGCGCCTAATAAGCATGATGAATATCCAAACTGCATTATATGAAAGGCTCGGAGTATTTCCTCATCAAAGTGATCATTAAAGTTCAATAAATAAAATGAGGATGATAAACTTTTCAGAGCGCAGGCCTGATTACTGTAATGAGTACTACCTTAAAGGAGCCAGCGTGCACTTTTATCCCCGGGAGAATAGAAACGCAAAGGAAATTACCATGTTCCCCTCTCATCAGTCCCCCAAATGAAAGTACACGATGAGTTTGTTCTTTTTTATCAAGATGATAGGGTTGTTTTACATAGTTTTTTTCAAGATTACTGTGTTCATTCTATTATCTTTGTTGGCCACTTTTAATTTCCCTTTTCCATGAAGTTATCAGTTTTACTGCATTTGAAATCTGCAGCGTGTCATTAAAATCCAGAGTACCTAGAGCTTTGTTTTTTGGAGGTTGTGCTGTGTACTTGGCTTTACAGCACCCCTTTGAAATTATCTCAGATGTCTCAGAAATTAAACGCACGTTCTGATCTTTGAGATCAGATGCCAGACATTAGAAAGAATCCATAAAAGCGTTCAGGTGTGGCCTGAGGTCTATCACCAAACATTCAGCATTTGGGGCTGTGATTAGCCCTGGAAAACAAACAGACTGGAGCTGCTGACTTTTTGCAATAAAAGTTGTGAATCTTATGATACTTGGAATATGCACACTTAGAAATTATTTAAAAATATTTTATACTTCACTGTTAGCCTTTATATATTGTTTATTACTTTGGGGAAAAATATAAAAATGCAGTGCCTAAGTTTTTAAAATTTTCTATTTCAAAAGCTCCGTCAGGTTAGCCGATTAAAACCTTACCCCTGAATTATTCTGCCATTTTTGTGTTTCTTATTTTATGGTTCCCTATCGAGGCAGGAAGTACGTGACTTTTCTCATAGTTGCATAGTAGCTGTAACAAATAACACTTTATCAAAATTAAGGATTTTTTCCTTTGCCCTTCAGGACTCTGCAGACAGTGGGGCCATCCCATGCTAGAACCTACACTGTGGCTGTTTATTTCAAAGGAGAAAGAATAGGCTGTGGGAAAGGACCAAGGTAGGAGAAGAAGATGCTTTTAGTTTGTTAAGATGGACATTCCTGTGTCTGAGAAATCCCCCACTGGTATTTCCCAACTCTGGGGTCTGTCTTTTTTAACTTAGAGTATAGAGTGTGTAGGGGTGATAGCAAAGTGAGTCCCAAGGACTAATCACCGTGCCAAGCCCCGATTTGAGAATGGGCCTTGGCTGGGGGGAATGCCACTGTGCACAGGGCTTTGGCTACCTTGGGAAACCGCATTACTGAGCCCACAGGTAAGGTCCTCCCAGTCATAGTTACTCAACAGAGTGCACATGGGTGTAAGCTAGAAATGTAAGATGTGTCCTGTCTTGCGACAGAGCCATTAGCCATTTGATTTCTTATTGGTATTCACTTGAGCTTTGTGGAAATGCTAACATCTTTAGGTAGAAAGAATTATGTATATTATCACCTTTCTTTGAACTTTCTAGTCTCTGTCTTAAATGAGAAATGATTTGAAGCCTGTCTCTCTCTATATTTTTATTCTTTTCCTCTTTAAACTTTATACTGACGGTATTCAAACTTAAGTAAGAAATACTTTAGAACTGATATAAATGGAAGACATTTTATTGCAGTATGAAAAGTGGAATGAATAAGTTAAACAGGCTTTGTGCAAACAAATTACATTCCTGCATGCTCTTGTATATGTCCCTATCTGGGCAATGCAGCACATGACAGTAGAAGTAATCAGATGTAATTTTATGCACCAAATGTGAAAATCAGCTGAATAATTTGTAGCTACATCTTGTGTTTTGGAAGAAAAAAACTCAGAAAAATCTTCAAGTTAAAGTATGCCTTACCTTTATTTTATTTAACAGCATTCAGCAAGCAGAAATGGGAGCAGCAATGGATGCACTAGAAAAATGTAAGCCTATCTCTTTTTCTATAATTATATGTTCATAATGTAATGAGTGTTTTATAGGAAGAAAATGAGGAAGTAAAAAAATGGTAAGTACTGATAAAAATGTGATCTTGTTTTCTTCATAATTATTCTCCACAGAGAATATAGTAGAATGTGAGATACGGATAAAATGAGCTTATTATTTAAAAATAAAAGTATTCCCGAGTGCCTTTTAATTTTCATTTCCCTTTTTTGCATAGAGCTCTGCTCTCAGCCCTGTAATCTGTGTGGACACCCTACTTACTGTGTTTCCCTCTTTGTATTTCTCCATACTTGTAAAATCTTGTAACATAGATCTATACACGGGAAGGTTTTTTCTTTTCCGTTTTTTCCCATTCTTTTATTAAATGTTATTTATTTACTTCTCTGCATCTTTCTGTTTTTGCTCGGTAGTAGGTCATAGGCAGCCCCGCAGACCATAGAAAATGGGTCTAATTCATCCTTTCTTAATGGCTGCATAATATTTCCTGCCATGGGTGTGCTGTATTTTATTCAGCGTTTTTATTATGGTGGGCATTTTATTTCTGCTTTTTGGTTTTTTTGTTTTTTAATCATTGTTAACAATAAATGTCTATCAGTGTTTTTATTATAGTTTTGTGGAATAGATTCCCAAGAGTGGGATGCATGGGTTGAAGAAACTTCAGTTACATAATTGAACTTGTAGGAAACTGCATAGTCTTTTGTAAATTGGAGGCTTAAGTGCAAGAGAAGTTTCTTCTGAGGCCTATTGTGCTGCACAGCAGAACCTGTGGGCACAAAACGACAACACAATTCTATTATGCTCCGAGTGCCCCACTAACGGGGTGGGGGGAGAAGGCAAAGTGTGGGAAGCTGAAAGTGAAGAGGCCCAGATTCCAGGAAAGACAGGAGGGCCACGAGCCAAGTGGAAATCAGCAGACAGTAGCTTCCTATTGGGTAAAGGGGGGTTAGTCAGCGGGGACAGAAGCTAGTGCTGCCGGGTCCAGTGGCCATGAAATCTTCACTGAGAGTTTTCAGTTGACCGTTGTTGGAGATTTTGTTTGTTTTCAAATATAGAACAGTATTGAGAGCTCACCTACTCTGAGACAGGCCTCCATATATGTGCTGGTGGGAGTCAATTGTTTAAACTGCTGGAAAGCAATTTGGCATTATGTGTCAGGTCGACTTATTGTGATCCAGAGATGTCATATCTGATAATCAAATCTAAGGAAATAATTGGAGTTATGGACTAATGTTCATCTACTATGATAATCAAGATAACTTGATTTATAGTAACAACAAAAAAAATCGAACTTGAGTGTTTAATAGTACAGAAGTGTTTAATAAATTATAGTATATCCCAGGGATTGGCAGACATTTTCTGTAAAGGGCTAGATGGTGACTATTTCAGGTTTCCCAGGCACAGTTTCTGTAACAATTACTCAACTCTGCCATTGCAGCCTACTGGCATACGTAGCATGCAGACTATGGGTGTGTCTGTATGTTTTTAAAACTTTATTTATAAAAGCAGCTAGACAGCTGTGTTTGCCCTACCCTATAGCTATATGTAAATATTATAATATTTTATAGCTATCAAAATAATGGTGTTGAAAACTAATGATATGGGAAAATGCTTAGACTAAAATAAATGAAAAAAGTATCATCATAAATACATACTTTCCTGTGTAAGAGTAGTTAGAGGAATGATTTTAAATGTGTTCATGTCTAGGTAAAAAGTGTGCCTACTTGTTGTGTATTTATATAGTATAACTTTACTTCATAGGAGAAAAATCTATAAAGATATATGCTAAAAGTTTGTCAATGGTTAGAGCTGAGTTGTAGGGTTTTTCAAATTGTAAATTCAATTTTACAGTAAAATTTACTTAGTAGAAACTTGCTTTACAAGATAATTTACAGATAACTTATTGGGATTTATTTATTTTTTTTAAATGTAATTGTAATTGTATTTGAACCTGTGAATTACACACTTGTATAAGGAATCAACTTAATATCATTTAGGGAATTGGTTTTATTACTGTTTTATTTCTGAATTACAAATCCCATGTTCCTCTTTCGCTTATCCGCACTCACGACTCTCAGACCTACCAGGTCTTTGCTGATTCCCTGCCTGTCTTTCAGATGCGTTTCCTACCACCCTGTCCTTGTCCCTTCTCCACCCCAACCCAGGGTGAGGACAGTGCACTATATGAAGAGGGTGGGAAAGAATTTAGGCCCATGTTGTACAGAAGCTCTCCCCTCATCCATGGAGAGCGACTGTACAATATGTGCTTTGTCCTCAGGGGACGCCTGAACTGCGTGTAGCACCAAACCCCGGTTATGCCGTGCTTTCTCCTGTACACCCTTCCCTATAATAAAGCTTAATTTCTAAATTAGGCACAGTAGGAGAGGAATAGCAGTTAATAATTTACTTTTCTGCCCTCTCTCACTCAAACTCAATGTCTTATTATACTGTGCTCACTTACTGTCAGGCAGTGGTTGAGATCCGGTAAGTGAAGCACAGAGGTAGAGCCCTGGCACGAGGGCTGCCCCGTACACAGCTGGCCTGTGTCACGCTTCCCCCTTAAACAGACCAACCTGCTTTCCCAAAAGACCACGTTCTCTCACATCTGGGATGCTTTGCATAGGTTTGAAACATGAAGAAGTAACACCTGTTCTCTTGAGCAGCCCCTCGTCTGGTTAGGTTCCTAACACAGTCATTTTCCTCCGTATTGGCAGTTAACCTGTGTAGTTCTTACTCACGTTCATGCCCCTTAAGGGTGCTTGTTAGGTATGTGTTCAGTGTATAAAATGGACTTTTCTCACCTGTATTTGACTTTTCCCTTCATTGTTACACCGAAGTTACACCACCAATGACAACTGAATTGTAAAAATTTCTAAGTCTTCATCAAGATTTTCATGGTGTCGACACCGTTGCACAGGGTCAAATATCTAACTAACTATAGCTCTGAGTGATGTTTCCTGTAACCATATTCTCTCAAACTTTCAAGTTCTCTACTTGAGTTACTTTTGCAGATACAGTTTGAACCTCTCATAGTAAACTTTCAGAGTAGAATTAATTATCAGATATAATGACTCTTTTTGCCCATGGATCTGTTTTTGCACTTTTCTTTTAATTCTTAATAAATAATGGTGTGATATCATTATTTGTATGGAGTTTTTGGTTTTAGCTTTTCAAAAATGTATGACTTGACTTTACTATATTCTTTAATTTCTCCCTGAAAATCACCTGTTGCTAGGAGAATGACACTATAATGCATCTGATTGGAAACATCCCAAAGCATACGTCTTAGGTTTTAGCATTTCTGTATGTTTTGGTGCCTTTTAGACTCAAGTTCACTCCAGATATTGAACTCTAGACTCAGGGGTGCCAATCCGTACTTCCAATATGTTTGTGAGTGATGAAAGAATAGGGGGAAAAACCAGGTTTTTTTTTTGTTTGTTTTTTTTATTTTAATTTTTTTTTTATTGAATGATAACTATGTACATTAAAGCACTTCTGGGGTACAGTGTAGGGTTTTCACATGCAATCTGAAATACTTCCATCAAACTGGTCAACACAGCCTTCATGTCATTTTCTCAGGAAAAACCAGGTTTTTATCCTCTTGCCTTACAGAATACAACGGTGCGCGTTTCATCTGAGTATGTGCTTGTAGTGTATGTGTTTAGTCTGTGTCATTGTTTGCTCTAGTGGCTATCCTTTATTAAGCATAAAATATATTTCCTTGTGTCAGATAACTTTCCCCAGATGGCCCATCAGAAGCGGTTCATTGAACGGAAGTACAGACAAGAGTTAAAAGAAATGAGGTGGGAAAGAGAGCATCAAGAGAGGGAGCCAGATGAGGCTGAAGACATAAAGAAATGAAGGAGGGCGCAGACGTGGAGAACCCCTGAGATTTAGCCCAGTTTTCCTACAGACAATGAATGAAATGTGTACCCTGAAATAAAATACAAAGTCAACTCACTATTGTTGTACTGACCTGTTCTTAGGGGGATGGTCGTTATTACAAAGCATTTGATTTCTCTTCCGCTTAATGGAAAACTGCGCATGGGTGGATGCGTGTTATTCCCTTTTATTTTGCTCTTTAAACAATAGCATTGAGGAAGCATATTCTGTGTGGAATAGATCCTGTTTCTCTGTTTCTGTCTTAGGTTATGATCTTAGAATTTCAACCGACAAGTGACAGATTCACTTAACCAGATATTTTGACTACACTCTCGTAACAGCTATACTTTTTGAAATCTCTGGATTATTAACTAGATTTTTTAGCTTTTATCTGGATGTTTATCAAGTTCTCAGCAGTAAACATTAAACTTAGCCCTCTCTAAGCTGTGAGTTCTTTGTAGAAGGAATCCATTTAACATTCAACTGGTTAATGGGAGGAGGAAAGACTGACATTTGAGTTGAATACATTCTTTGAATCATTAGAATATGAGAGACGTTGTGATTTTAAGCCAGACCACACTTTCAATCAAGACCTTTCACCCTGGAGATCAGTGAAACCTGTTAAGAAGTTATGGACAGACTTCAAGGAAGTTTCAAAACCTCCTGAAATTGTATTCAGTTTTGTGTGTGTGTGTGTGTGTTTGGGACTTAAGAGGGGGCGGGAAACAAAAAGGGGAGTTGCAGCTTTCATCAGCATCTCTAAATAGTCCCTGCGGTAAAAGGCTGACTTTACATTAAAACACATAAAATTTTTATTTAAAAAATGTTATTTTAAACTGAACAGCACTGCTTTCCAATTAATAAAGGCAAAAGTTCTTTGTAAAACAAATGTGTTTCATTCATTATTTCAGCAAATGCATCCTGACTTTGTGTCAGGCTCTGTTGCAGGCTCTGGGGCTCCTTGGGGAGCTTGGGTGCTAGTGCTGGATACTCTCAGCCTAGATACCTAGACCTGTTGATGGTGATAAGTAAAGCAGGGATGTGGGGTGGGGCAGTTTTCGTTGGGGTGGTTGGGGAGTTTGCCCTAAAAGAACATCATTGGGTTAAGATGGGAAGGAGAGGGAATGGGCCATTCAAGTGTCTGAGAGTGAGTTTTATCAGAATAAGTATTACATGTTACATATGCATTGTCAAAAACTTGGAAAATGTATTACTTTCATTAGCAGGAGAAGGAAACAAATGTTTCTTTGAAAATATGGTGGAAAAAAGTACGAAGCATAAGCAGAAAAATAAATCACAATTCCATCACCCAGAGACTTTTCATATCCTGTCAGACCGTCTGTGTACATAAATACACATACATACACCTGCACTGGAGTGTGTTTTAACAAGAGGGTGCCACACATACGGTTTCTGTAGCCTTTCTTTTTAATTAAGTATCATGAATATCTACCTGTGTTGGATCTAATTTACGTAATGTAATTGTTGCTGGTTGCGGATTAATGCATATCTTAACGCATATGGCGTGTGCCAGTTGTGGACATGCCATAATTTCTCAATGAATCAGATGTCAGGTGTGGAGGTTGTAAGCAACTTGCCTCCTTTGTGGTCCTGCCACCTGCACCTTGAGGCCTATACACACACGTACTAGTTGTTCTTAATTTGTTAATCATAAAAATGTCAGATGGTGCCTGTAAGAAAAGTTTGCCCTGGTGCTCCTTCTCACCAGTTTATGCCAGAGAAGGCAGCAGTGTAGGGGGAGCATCATTTCTGAGTGAGGTTTTGGGGGGCACGTCTTCCACCCTATTGGTTACATCCTCTCGGAGCATTACATTTAAGTTACATGAGCAATCGCAGGACTGGGAGGGGGAGAGTCCTAGATTCACAGGTGGCCTTGACAATATTTCAAGCAAAAGCAAGGCAAGCTATTTGATTTTTTTTTTTAAAGCAAGTACTTTTACTAGTCTTGAATGTGCATCAGAATAATGCCAAGGCCACCACGTTTTCCAGGAATTTTTGTTGGACCTCCACTTTGCTTCTGTAGCACTGTGGTGCTTGTCAGGTTCTCACCTTAGTGGCTCTTGAAACCTGCCAGGCGTGCCATCAAGGTGGATTAGCTCCCAGGGCTATTGAGCAGCAGTGAGGCCTACAAGCAAGTTCTATAACTAGCCATGAGGCCAACTCAGCAGATCCTGGCCCTGCCTGCTACCCAACTCAGCCTAGTCTCACATGTTCCCATCCTGAGGAAGAGCCAGCCAGTGTCAGTTGCACATTAAATCAACTGTATGTTAAGTGCTGTTGGTAACAGAGGCTGAATGTGATGGTTTCTTCTTGTGGTCTGGTCGGGGGGACAAATGACAGTGTATACACAGTCATATAAGGGGCTTGTGAGGCTAGGAAGGGTAGGGGGAGAACAAGCCAGGCAGGGAAGACTTCATGGAAGAGTTGACAACTCGAAGGACTTCACTGAACCTTGATGATGAAAAGAAGCTTGCAAGCAGGGGGTGAGGGACATGTCTTTGCATACGAACAACAGGATTGAGGGGCAAGAAAATGGGCTGAGTCTGTCTTAGTCCATTTGTGCTGCTGTAACAAAAGACCATAAGCTGGGTGAATTACAAACAGTGGAAATTTATTTCTCACAGTTCTGGAGGCTGGGAAGTCCAAGATCAAGACACTTGTCATGAGGGTTCACTTTTTGCAGTGTCTTCAATCTATCCAATATATTAAACCAAACTAGGTTCAATACACTGGATAGATTTACTGGCAAAGCAGCCTCCTGGGCTTTCTTTTGTGGGCACTAATCCCACTTACGAGGGCTCTGTCTTTATGAACTAATCACTTCCCCAAAGACCTCACCTAGTATCATGTTGCCTACTAGATTTTCAACAAGAATTTGGGAGGGGACACAAACATTCATACCATGTTAGAGCCTATTATGATATTCCACGAAGGAGGCAATAGGGGCCTGAAACAAGGCATGGGGAATGGGAGTGCTGGAATGAGACAGTCTGAAATATGCTAGGAGGTGAAACCTGCAGGGCGTAGAGTGAGGCGGGTATGTCTGGGCACTACTGACATTTGGGGCCAGATAATTCTTTCTGGAGGGCAGAGGGATTGTCCTGTGCATTGCAGGTGTTCAGCTGCATCCTTCTGTCCTTAAGATGCCAGTAGCATCCCTTCCCTTTGTTGAAGATGTCTCCAGACATTGTCAAGTGTCATCTGAGGGCAAAACTACTCCTGGGCAAGAACGACTAGGGTGGGAGAACACCAAGCCGTATTTTGTGCAAATAAGACACAACTGTTTATAGAGAAGCAGAGTTAGTAAGGTGTTGTCTGTCTGAGGCCTGTAGGATGCCATCTTTGTGGAGGTGGCTAATAAGCAGTGGGATGTGTGGGTTTTATCCCCAACAAGGATATTAGGGCTGAAGTGCAGATTAGAAACAGAATCAAAAACATCAGCAGCATATGTACATCTACAAAGGAGAGCTTTGTTTTTCCAGTTTGGAGACAGAAAACCACTCCAGTGATGTATTGCTCTGAAGCCAGGTTTAATCCATCAGATAGATTTACACTGGTGAGGGAACTCATCTGTCCTCTGAACTGCCTCATCTCTGGATGAGATTTCCTTAAACAAGTTGGCTGTTTCAGGATTATTTCTATCTTCTTCCTTAGGTTTGTGAAGTTTTTGTGAGATTTCTCCACAGTTACCTAATCATTCTGAACTGGGAGTAAAGCTGTATTTACTAAAGCCTGGCCAATAATTTCCTTATAGCAAACAGTTCACTGGACCCTATTACTTGTTAATTATCTCATGAAGGATGAAATAAAGATAAACAGAGTTAGGCATTACAATGCCACTTTTAAATAGAAATATCAGGACATTTAACACATTAACTGCCCTGCGAGTTGTATTTAACTTGTGCTAGTTTTGAACGTGGGGGCCAGTGAAGCACATATAACTCACATCTCTGACCTATCTTGACCTAATGAACCGCTGTGAGCCCAACGAAACATTTCTTCTAGTGTGGCAGTTGGTGTGTTAAGAGGACAATCTGTGAAGGAGATGGTTGCTGGCCCCCCAAATGGCTCTCCTCCTTATAGAATTGTTGTCAGAAAGTGGCAGCCTAACTGGAGACCATATCCCAGTATCTCTGTATTTCAGTGAAGCTGAGTGGCTGTTTCTCACCTGTTGAAAGGTAAAGAGTTTCCAGGCTGCAGGGTTTGGAAGTAGGTTTGCTATTTCTCCTTCCACTGACCCGGATTTGCTGGCTAGATGTTGATACTAGCCAGGGTAACCTTGGAAGCCACCATCAGGGAGCCCATGCGTGGCTGCATGGAGCAGTCTCCCACCCACCCACCACCCCACCCCACCTCTTCTCCACTGATGGAGGAACCCTGCCTGGGCTTTATGTTAGTGAGAAACAAATATCTGTATGCTCAGCTATTGCAACTGGGGGATTTGTCTATTACAGCAGCTAGTGCTACCTTAACTAATACCTCTGTCTGAGGCAAGCAATTAATAACCTTAATTAAATTTTGCCAGTCCAACCAGATGAAAAGGACCCGTTTCCTCACCTGTTACTGAAGGCTATACTGAACCAATGGTGACATGTTTCTTATTTAATGTTGACTTGTTTACTTATGGTTCAGAAATGCCCCTAGTCCTCTTAGAGTAAAAGAAATTTTGAAATATAACAACCACAATATAAAATAGTTACTCATGAATCAAGGGTTTTGAAACCATGGTGCATTCTAAGATTTATTTTATTAGTATTTGTAGCCATCTACTCTAACCTGGGTATGGAAGATTAAAAGCAGAGTCCTTGTCCTCAGGGAGTTCACTATATGACAAAGGACTCACAATACACCCATGAATATGCATGTATAAAGTGCCTTACGGGGATCAGAGGAGAGAGAGTGACTCATTCCTTCTGGAAGGATGGGTTTCAGTTGGATATTGAGGGCTGACTTCAGCCCACCAGGCTATTGACTCTATTTTAAAAGCCTGTTTTCAGGTCAGACATATCATTTTAGTTTTTAAACATGAAGCCATTACAACTAATGAAATCACCAAAA